ATATTTATATCATAATATATCATATTGTATCATACTGTATAAAAAATGTTAGTAATCCATAAAATCATCTACTTCTTATCATCTATTTATGCAGAAGTTTCAAATTTTAATAATAATTTTTTATATAATACAACTGAAATATAAAATTAATATTGTTTTAAGATTTTTGTGAAAATACTAAATATATTCTCATTTCACTGGATTCATTCATTAACACATTCATTCAAAATTAAAACAATTTTTTAATACTATAGATTGTGAAAATAAATTGTGTACAATGTTTAAAATAAAATATCATCATCTCCTTCATCAAGCATATTTGCAGCTTCTACATCTTTACCGGAAGCTATCATCTCTGCTCTAGCTGCCTCAAGCTGTAAAATAAATTAAATATATGAAAAATTTGACTAAAAGATAAAAAACATAAAAAATTATTTTTAGAATATAAAATTTACCTTAGCTTTTGCTTGTTTCTTCTTATCTTGAATTTTCTTCAATCGATAGAATTCTTCTCTTTCTAATTCATCCAACTCAGAAATTATATAAGCAAGTGTTTTCTCAATTCTTGGAATGATAACATGTTCAATAGCATTTACACGACGATTTGTAATTTTAATAACTTCATCCAAAGTTACAAAACTTGTTTGTAAAGATGCTAATTCCACTAATAATTTGATTGCTCTTTGATAATTTTTTTTCAATTTTGCCAATTGTTGTCCACCTCTTGCCAAACCTGCTAATTCATATGTATCTGTGCCATCTTGATAAGATTCAAATACTGGAAGATTAACACCAGCAACATTATCTTTTTTAGATCTGATTTTAATCTGTGCTTTTGTCACATTCTGAAGAACTACTTGATTAAAGTCTCCAGTTGCAAATTTAGCTTCAGCCAATGAGAAAGCTGCTTCCTTCATCACTTCTCCCATAAGAGTTTTTGTCTAAATAAAAAAAATTGTTATAGAAAAAAAGAAATTATTTATATAAATACAAATATATTTTTGTATATTATATTATACAAAATTATGTTATATACTATATACTATATACAATTGTTACTATACCTCAATAATTTTACCCAAAATTAATCTAAAACGCATTTGCAATGCATCTGCTTTCTTTTTTAATAAACCATGACCCTTTTGTGCCCCATGCAAACGGGATTTCATTAACATTTGTGCTCTGAAAAAAAAAAATCAAATTATAAATCTTGCATTATATATCATTAATTAATGTAATGGAAAAATTAAATGATGTGTAAATTTAATAATTTTGTATAACACAAATTATAATTAAAACTTATAATAAACTAATCATATATTCGTATATATTATTATAAACATATATTAAGAAATAATTTAAATGGTTTGAATACATTAAAAGTAGGGTTACACCCATCTAATGATAAAAATTACAGTCTTACAATCTATTAAGAATAAAACAGACTTAAATAAATTAAAAATAAAGTTCAATAAAAAATAAAATAAGTTTTTATAATTTAAGGAGTAACTTACCCCCGGGAAGGGAAAATTGCAAGTTTTTCTTTTCCAGACATAACTATGAGAACTATCAAGTAGACAGGAATGAAATTGATCAGCTGACTCGTAAGACCGGAAATGTCAGAAATATATATATATAGTATAAAAATGTATAGTCGCATAAAACTAGCGCGCAATTTTAAAAACAATAAATAATAAAAAATGTAATCAATATTTTTTAATACAATACACAGAGTATATAAAACAATTGAACAGAATGAAAATGTAGCAAGATTAACATCAATAAATAAATTTCGAAGTTAACATAATAAAAATTTATAAAATTAAATTAACGTTTACGTAAATAAAGAATGAAAATAATAAAAACCAAAATTCTTCAATGGCTCAAAAATGCAAAATTTTATTTGAAGAAATGAAAAATTGTTTCATATAACGATTAATAAAAGAAAAACGTTATTTTTTCATTAGCGACAATGAATTAAATAACATATTCAGGATAAACGTGAATGCTGTCAATCCGCATAGCACACGTAGAAGTTGCTAAGAATCTGGAATAATTAAAAAAGCCTTCAAAGATATCCTTATAAGAATGAACATTAATCTTTTTTAGAAATAGGTTTGTATATTTTTACATACTAACGAAAAATTAATCCTAAATGATTAATTCTTATTACAGGTTGATCCATATATTTCTTTCGGTAAATTATTATTAATATGGAAAAAATGATTTACGTATCTGATATCTCGAAAGATTTTATCCTAAATAAAGCAGTTCGTGATGCTACAAATATCTTACTAAAACCATACATGCCAATAGTATTAACAGAATCTTGCTCAACTCCAAATAATTGCGATAATCATGAAGCAATTAATAATATTAAAGTCAAATGGATATCACATACACAAGATTTTTTATTAAAAATGACAACAATTGCCTGGGACTTTCTAAATATTTTGAATATGTTTCAAAATAATCTAGAAAACCATACTATAGAAGATATTTCAAATAATAGTATTTAAATAATAGGAACAATATATTTTTATAGTGCAGCTTCTATCAGCTGATGTGAATTGACAGCTTAGATAACAAGGAAAAAATAAGTATCTTACATTAATGTAATTGATATAAGTATTTTTAATAAAAAATATATAAGACAATTTTGTATTTTATAACAAAGAGAATTGTCCAACTTTTAATACTTGTCTTACATTCATATTTATTCTAGCATCAGAAATATAAATTTTTGCTTTTTTCCAATCATTTTGATTTAATCTATTGCATTGATTATCATTTAGTTCTTCATTATCCCATGGTTTATCAATGGTTAATAATATTTTTGGTATACCATGATATCTCAAACGGGACATTCCAGACATTATTATTATATCTCCACTCCGTAAAAATATAGCATTAGTTATATCCTCTTGCATAAGTCCTCCAATTAAAAATATTGCAGTTTGACCAAAACTTATAGAAAATAAGGGAGCTTCAACATTAGGTTCAGAATGGTCAGTATGACCTGCTAAAGTTGAATTCATTCTATAATAATTAATGATAGCTGCTTCAGCTTTAAAATCTTTAAAACCTAATGTTTGTGCTAAAAATGATGTTAATAATGATAATTCTATAGGTATTTTTGTCTTGCATGTTTCAGAATATAATTTTGTATCCCAGTTATGATGATATCCAAATGTTGCCCATCTTAATTTTGATATTAATTTGGTATTAATTTCACCTTTATCAAAGTGCCTACAATGAATATAATGAATATATATTACAAATATTAATAATAAATATATAAATATATATTACAAATGTAATTTTTTTATAACATTGCATCTTACTTAAAACATATATCCCACCAATTTTCATTATCATTTAAAACATCATGAGCATGTAAATTTAATTTATGTGGTTTTTTCGAATATTCTTTTAAACATTTTATAATCCAATATTGTTGTCCATATGTAGTAAATGGATTTTTTATAAAAATAAGTCCTGGAATATCTAAAAATTCAAAAACTTTCCAATCTTTAATTGATTTTAATCCCAATTCATGTTCACATTTTATATCAAGCAATTTTTCTCTAAAACTAATAACCTAAAAAATATAAACATTTATATATATGAAATAGACGATTTTTTAAATTTATTATATACTTTATTATAATCAGGATTATTCAAGTCGATCACATTTTTTAAATTAGGACGAGGATTTCGACTTTTATAATATTTAAAATTATCTTTAAACATTACTTGAAACCATGGGCATCGCCATGTTTGTTAATTCACATATATGTCAATAGATATCGTTAGTGTAGATCATCAGTTAAATCTATGCAATTTAAAAGTAGATTTTAACGCGTTTTCATATGAGATACAATAAAAATTTTAGATAATATTTCAATAAGAATTTTCACTTGGTTCATAATAGTGACAATCAAAAGTATCAATTTTCTGATTTTTAATCATTTAACTTTGTAACTTTATCTTGATAACTCTTAAAAATAATGTTCTTACAACATGCAGCATCTTGTCTAACCTACAAGTAAGTATTCAAAGATATATCTATGATGCGGCATATGACTAAATATCGTATAGGAAATATATCAATCGTATAGGAATAATCAATGAGTGAACATACAGACAGCGCATTTTGCATTACGATTCGTTTAGCATAACATCATCATTATAGTGTGAACATTAATAGATACATATCGAAAAAGTCAGAGTTTCAAGCAATTTTTTCTTGCCGTGCCCAACCTCATTCCTTTATCTGTGTACGCATACAGTAATGGACTGTGACTAATTTTAGAGCGTAATTTTCGCATAATAACACTGCCGGGAAATCTATGATTTCATAGAGGTAAAGAGAGGCACGCCAGCCGACTTCAAGGCTTTTCGAAAGCTTCGTGCAAATTAATAGTGCGCGCTGCGTTAATAATCATCCATTACCATCGCTCTTATTCTTCATAAATTCCACCCACCCACCTAGCCCAGTTGCGAATGATTATTCACCTGTATCTCAAAGAATACGAACGAACCTTGTTCCAGTTACTAAACTGGATCTTGAGTTCAATCACTTCAATGTATATCACATATTTATTTATCAATCAAATAATTTAAAATCGCTATTTTTATATCGTAAACGAAAATCACATAATTATATTTAATATATAATATATCATTTGAAATAATAAAAAAGCATTTAAAGAAGAAAGCAATCAATATTTATTATAATAAAAACGATGATGAAAATATTAAAAAAAGTGGATAAAAAAATTAATATATTTAAGTACATGATAGAATCTCAACACGCGGACTTGAATATACCGGTACATTAAAGCAGCGCGTATTCTCTGACAGTTTCATGTCAACAAATGTCGTACCCGCAAGTCGCGCCCAGCCGTAAGCCAGGCCTGCATCAAGCGATCGCAACGTATTTGCGAGATCAACCAATCACATGTGTTAGTCACGCCACTAGTGGCCAATCGCGTACATTCCCTATGACGACAGTTGCTAAATATAACTCGTATATATCTAGGCCGATCGCAACCGCGAATTATCCACAGTCGTGCGCCGGCAGCCGACGGAGAAGGACGGTGTGGGGCGTACCGGGACGTTGTGTTGTCGTTTGCATAGAAAAGGTAGGACCCGTACACGCACCTAAAACAACCGTCTTCTCTGCATGTAATAAAATTCTTTGTAGATTGAGTACATGGCTATTCTTAATAACATAAATGTATAATGTAGTTCGGAAAATGCAATAAGATGTATTGAAGCTACGGGAGAAATTTTAATAGGCTTTTTAAATTGTCAAGTATTTTAAAATTAGAAGTACAATTTACATTACAAATTTAGCAATGTTTATTTAGTGAAGTAACTTTATTTATTTTTTTCTTTGAAGATATATTTTAAATAATTGAATATTTGTCAAAATTCGAAAGAGCTTAAAAGATTATCCATTAATTCTTTTATATTATTTGAAATTTAAAATAATATTATAAAATAGTTGATAAAATTATTAGCTGTAATATTTATCGAAGAATACCGCGAAAATCGAGTTCGCAAGCAGTCAAGGTCGTGTAACTACTGAGTTGAGTTTTATTACGAACATGTTGCATTATTACGACAAGAATCGAGAGAAGAATATGTTAAACGCTACGAAACTACATTATCTTTTTTTAAGAATATTTTTCTATCTGAATTCTTATTATATCTTCTTTATTATATATATATTTGCGAACGAAATTCTAAATATTATTGATCAAAATCGCAAGAATGATTGTTTTTCATAATTTTTCAAATTTGATTCAAATAATTGTCACAATTTGTTTTTATGAATATGAAGTTAGCTGTATAGTCGAATATCGTTCATCGCATTCAAACGATACGAATCGAAAGTGATGCAGCAAAGATCATTCGGACAATATCATTCGCGATTATGTGGAGGCAATAAAATGAAAAGTGTATCGTTCTTGCGATTTGCCATAATATAATGGATTCGTTTCGAGAATTTCTTGATTGGCATAGACTCATGACACCTGAGGATGCACCCGTAATACTGCATGATTAGTGTCACGGAGAACATCTGGTGTAGTGGGGAATCTTAAATATAGCAAAACAGAACATTGGCAACATTGTCACGAATCTAGTAAAGACTATATAGTATCCTCACACGGTACCAATGCTCCTGATTGCACAATATTTTACTTCGAACTAACATTCAAAGTATATAAGTATATAAGTATATAAGTATCTTTTTTTATGATATTTTTTAGTTTTTTAATCTTTTTTTACGATATTTTATACTATATATTTATAGTTTTTTATAGATGTATATATTTTATGTATGCATTTATAATATAAAATATAATATAGGTAAGAAAGAATTTTCGAGATTTTACTATCATTCGAATATCTTTTTCGCGCGTATGCGAATGAAAGTATAATGTTTATATTGGCATGTAAAGTGGAGTTAAGTAGGATCACAAATAACTGTAATCATAAAAACTCATATTACGATGGCTTAAATGGGAAGTTGCGTTTATTATGAACAACTTAGTGTTTACTGGAAATGTATGCTCGCAAAAGAACATATTTACTCATGGAAAAACAAACTTTATGAATGTCTTAATAATCTTTTATTTAAAACATTTTTTTTTATTCAATCAATATTTTAGAACGCTGGCAAAAATATCTTCTTATTAGACATATTATTTTATCGAGTTTGAATTTTGAAAACAAATTGAATATTGAAAATAAATTTATGATATGATCTATTGATTCCAATGGTTCATACCCTGATGAATATGAATCAATTTGAAAAATACATTTTTATTTTTATTTTCTAATTGCATTGTATATTTCAATAAATGATTTCTTATGGTATCATTGAAAAATAAAATTATTTACTTATTTACTTACAAATAATTTCTTTATTACATTTTATATAAAAATTTTAGCAAATATCAAAAGAATTGTATGACAAATTTACAGACGAATATAAATGCACTCTTATATAAACAAATTGTTACATAATATTCATGCGGCAAACAAGAAACGTTTGTATAAGAAATTTTTGTTGTTAGAAGAATAGATTTAATTAATATACAGAATATATTTAATTAAATTATAATAATAATAATAAATCGGAAATAATAATTAATTAAATTTAAATATAATTAAAAGAATAATGAATATTTAATAAAATGAAAATTTTAAGCAATTTTTATAATTAATTCGAACTGAATTCCATATGGAAATTTGCATTCACCAAGTCACGAATCTTAAATGTTTACTTTCATTTGTAAACTTCCTCTGTGGTTGATAACCATTATACAACAATAATCTTATCTTTGCATTCACTATGCAAACGAGCCAATCTTCCCAAGGTGCAATCTGCTAGTCGTGATAATTAGTCACAAGGTTGGATAGTCATAATAACTGCGTAACATTTACCGTATATTTTTCGTTTATAGTTCCCCAAATTTTTATACAATACTTTTCAATAAAAATATAAGTGTAAATATTTGAACTTTTATTAATTTTAAAATTTTCACATTCTTAACGTGCATTAATAACATATGTTGATGAAAATTCAGAATTCTTATTTGTTAATTATTGTTATTTTTATCAAGCATGTACATTTCCTAATTATTTTCTTCTTTATAATAGCGAAAGAATTTTATGAATATTTATCAGACTATTTTTTTTTTTATATTTTAATAGAAATTTAGTCATTGAATGATTTGTTATTTTGAGAATCATTAATATAATAAATATAATAATATAATATAATAAATATAAATTTAAGAAAATTTCCTGTCTTGAATGATATTTAACTTAAAATCAAACAATGTTTTCGAAATCTTGAATATAATAGAGTAGATTTATTTATTCTAAAAGACGAATTTTTAGAGATACATAATTAAATATAATTATAACATGTTTGAGTAATTATTGTTGGTAGATCAATGGGGATTTCTCATTCTTTTATGACCGTGACCTTACTGACATTTGATTTCTTAGATTGTCATCGGCATCGAAACTCGCCCATACAGGATCTGCACGTGTGTCAGATAGCGTGCGCATTTCCATAACGTCGAAGGCCGTCAAATATTGCAACTAGACGAATACCTTCAGCCATCTGTTTATCTTCCTTTCATCATTTCTTTCTCTATATAATCTTACCGGTTTCAAACTTAATTCAATTATGCACACGCATTCGCCATTTACATTGATTTTTTCTTATCTCTTTGATTATTGCGTAGAGTTATTTTTATTAAAATTATTAATTAAATTTTTTATATTCTAGATTAGTATAGGATTTAGAATTGTTAACGTATTAGTTTTCATAGTTTTTGAGAATTGTTTATGTTATTAACATTTTTATATCTTTTTTCGACTCGTAATTTTATCATTACGAGAAAAGGAAAGATAAAAAAAGGATACATACATATATTAAAACGAATTATTCCAAAATCAGCATGGAAATTAGTGTATAATAGAACGCAACTTAATTGAATTTAGCGCGGTCAAGGGAATACGCGGACTCGGATAAAAGTTCTCGTAAACGGTTGATTTATTGTCGAGTGATGTGCGCGCATGCGTGTTCACGCCTAGAGGCCGCGAATTCGCGAGCCATCTTTTTACACACAGCTGATTACAAAGTCGAGAGATGATATAACTGGATTTACAAGTTGTCACAGTGAAAGAGCGAGAGATTGGACGAGGGAAAAAAGGGGATCGGCGGGGGAGGCCATTATTGTTCAAGGGCGTCAATATGCCGATTAAATTTAAAATGCTAATACGTATCGTAAAGAAATGGCGAGGGAAAGGATTTACGCGCGACTCGCACGATTTTCTTCGCGAGATCGAAACTCTCGATAATGTTCTCGCTTAAGATATAACAGATCGACCAAATTGACTAATTTTATCAAGATGAATCGTTTCGTTTGTGAAAAATTTCAATATACAAGTAAGGAAATATCTTTTTGAATATATAAATATTTTTTTATAAAAAAAAAATATCTTAAATATTGATGTAAAAGAAAGATAGTGCGATTGCAAGATTGATTAAACAAGTATTCCTAGATACTTAAAGCATTCTAAATTATTCCATATTCTTTCTCGGATCAATGAGTACATTGTTCGATTTGTTTCATTTGTGGGTGAGATATAGGTATCGATCTGTTTTACTCTTATCGCTAGATATTTCTCACGATAAAAGGGCTTTACGTTTTTATTACAATCATAAAAAATTATCTACATACTTGCAACTATGATTCACCATGAAATTTATAATAGAAGTTGTTATATCTTTCGATCTATATTTCGAATTCTTTAAATACTTTTTGTTCACAACTTTTTTCTATACTATATATAGTATATAGAAAAATTGCAGATTTTTCAAATATGGAAATATAGTGACTATTTTTATCTTATATTTTTCATAATATAAATAATTGTTTTCGAAGGTTATTTTATAATTTGTGCAGAAATTTGCATAGTACCGTGCAATCTTTCGCATAACGAATTGACGATACAATAGATAAGGCAACGAGGAAGGGAAAAAAGGTAGGAGTATATTAGTTTAATGTATCTTATCGGGGTCTATTGTCGATAATGTATTGTAATTATGATATTGTGTATTACATAAGTACATGAGGAAAAAACGCGGCGTTTTGTTCTTTTAACGTTGGCATTTTATAATGGCTAATAGTGAAGAATTTAAACAAACGAAGTAAAAAGTTAAAATAAATTTTTATCATGGAAAACATTTTTTATCTCAATGCAATGCTAGAATTTCGAATTGAGTATAAAAATGATCTTTAATAAAAGGATATTGTGAAATTTGTATGTAAATGAATTAATTTATTCCATGCAATTAATTATACTTAGATGCATAATTTTTTTGTTGTTGCAACAATTTTCTATTTTTATCCAATTATTTCATAGTGCGTTCAAAAGTATATAATTATAATTCCTTTGCATCACTTTTTCGCGTTAATTATAAAAAGTAATTCAGATAATACTCGAGTATCTCACTTTTCACATCTTTTTACACACAAGTTTTTTCTTTTATTATTAATTTTGAAATTCTGGATTCAATTATATTTAATGCAATTACATATTAATTTGGTAA